ATATCTGCGGATATGCTGTGTTTATACTGTGACGCATCTAGAGTTGGAGTTCAGGACTCGAAAATATTCATAATTTTTTGGGAATAGGTGCACTGGTGCACCCAACCTAAAAACTTAGGTGCACAAAAAAATTTTTGGGTGCACCGTATAAAACAGAACCTAATTACAGATCTTACTGCTCCTCTTCTGAGCTTGAATCTGAAATGGGAGCTAACTTCAACATCTTACACAAGTACTAGTACAACAAAGATTACACTTAAAAGAGAGAGACTGAGACCTGCATTTGGCCGAATTCAGAGCTTTTAATCGATGTAAAGGAGAAAAAGACCTCTGAGCGCCAGGGTCGAGAGAGCGAGACGGCCAAAGCAGGAAGGTATGAGGAGAGGAGAGGAACCGCCCACCCAACACATGGGAACTAAACAACTAGTGCTATAAACTAACTAACAAACTAGCCAACTTGCTAACTAACTAGTGGATGAAGTGCTCGGACTTACATACAGGATATTGCTGGAAAATCTGACATAAAGCAAGTGGAGCTCAACGGTTTGAGGCAACAACTAGATAAACGAGGAAACATACCAGGCTGTAATACATCTGGGTCTACGCGTGCAACATTAGAAGAACAAGGGTTGTAACTAAGTTAAACAGGGAAACTAGGAAAGAACAAACGTCTCTATGTCTCAAGATCTACATTTCCTAAATACCGAAATCGAACATAGTTACATAAGGAAAGGTCGGCTCCGTAGCGTTAAGGAGCTTGGCCTGTTAACATCAGTTACATAATAACAGTGAACATGTGCCAAGAGTCCTCATACATAGAGAGTTCATGTGCTCGTATGTCGGAGGATGTAGTCCCTCAGAGCAGATGGTAGCTTCAGGCGATCGCGGATGTTGGCCGTCAGGTAGAGATGGTCTGCATCTGATTTCCAGTCCCCGTGGAGCTGACGTAGCTCTCTCGGGACGCCCGCCTGGAAGGCGAGGGTGTACCCACCCCTGCGCAGATCGTGGAGGGTGACCGCACCCTTGGGGAGGGCCAGGGCCTTGATAGCCTTGGCTAGAGCCTTCTCCAGGATGGAGGTGGTCAGCGGGCGAGCAGTGTTTGTCGAACTTGGCAGGACGAAGGCTGGTGAATCAGGAGACGCGGGGATTAAAGTGCACATGTGTTGATATGCAGAGACTGGGCATAGGACGGAGTCTGGTATTGGGACCAAGGGAATTTGTAGAACACGTTCACGGTGCTGCAGAGTCTTGGACCACTTGGTATAGACTAGTAGACCAGAGGGGGACGTCAGTACGTCCTTGCGTTGGAGATGACGTTTCGGATCGAACGACGTCTTGGAGTCGAGGACAACGTTGGAGCGGCGGAAGAAGGTGAAGAAGCAGAAGAGCAGAGCAGCCCAGACTGCGGCATCTTTTTGGGTGTCATGATTGAAACAGCCATGCAGACGCGTCAGTAAGGCCACGTCCACCAAGGTATGCTGACGCGGGCGGTGTTGTAACTTCTTCCGGAGTCCTTTCATCGTGTGTGTGATTTCGAAATG